TTTATCCTGATGCTCTCCCTCACAAAATAGAAACTATTCTGAACAGAACAGAATGGCTGAATACAGGGAGCCAGTTACACAGTGATGAAAGAAGTTGAGACAATAACCCTGAGGCAACCCAGAGAGTATCAACAGCAGTAGTCACCATTCCAGCCAATGGAAGGGTAACAGTGGCGTTTATTTATTTTTATTTATTTATCTTTCTTGAGATGGAGTTTTGCTCTTATTACCCAGGCTGGAGTGCAGTGGCGTGATCTCGGCTCACTGCAACCTCCGCCTCCCGGGTTCAAATGAGTCTCCTGCCTCAGCCTCCCAAGTAGCTGGGATTACAGGCATGCGCCACCACGCCCAGCTAATCTTTGTATTTTTAGTAGAGACAGGGTTTCTCCATGTTGGTCAGGCTGGCTTCAAACTCCCGACCTCAGGTGATCCGCCCACCTCAGCCTCCCAAAGTGCTGGGATTACAGGCATGAGCTACCACGCTGGGCAACAGTGGTGTTTATTAGAGTCTACGGGCCTGGGTTAACCTGGCTGAAGCTAGGACCACAAAAAGCCTTTGTATCAGAGGCTGGAGCCATGGAAGGGAAACTGCAAGAGGCAGAGAACAGGGAAAGAAAAGCCCCGACTTCTCCCTTGCCCTGACTCCTGAAAGTGCCTCCTGCTAAGGTACAGATGTAAATGATTGCCAGCCATTATTCTAGAGGTCACAAGACATTGCAACTTCCCCAATTACTCCTGCAGATAACATCACTATTGTAGAAACTCAGTTTGGCTTTTTGAAATGTCTTTTCAGGTTTTTTGCATGTCTGACACTGATGGCTCCACCTGGACCCACCAGTCACTCCTGTGGCCCCACCCAGCAGTGAGTAAGCTCACTGGAAGACCATTTCCCACACCCCTATGATTGCGACCCCAGCCAATCAGTAGCAAGCACCCGTGGCCTAGCCACCTGTACCCCATCCCACAAACTACCTTTGAAAACCCCTGGCCCCCAAATGCTCGAGGAGATTGATTTGTGTAATAACTCTGTCTCCCTGTGGCCTCAGTCAAACTCTTTCTTTACTGCAATGCCATAGTCTCAGTGAATTGATATTGTCTATACAGCAGGCAGGAAGAACCCATCAGGTGGTTACACTACATGACCCCAGTTGTCCTCTCCACTGACACTGCCTTCTGCTTGTGCTTCAGCCTAGAGCCTGTGTGTCGTACCTGTGCCTTCTGCCTGTACCCACACAGACTATCATGTGCTGGTCCCTTCTTGTCATTCAGGTCTCAACTCAAAAGTAACTGCCATCAGGAGGCCTCTCTTGACATCCCCCAGATATATTAGCATCCTACCACCCTGGCCCATGCCTTCTATCTTTTTATAAGGACGAGTCATATTGGATTGAGAGATCACCTTACTCCAATATGACCTCCTCCTAATTACATCTGCAATGACCCTATTTCCATCTAAGGTCACATTCTGAGATACTGAGGTCTAGGTCTTCAACATATTTTGGGGAGACACAAGTCAATTATAACAGGAATCTTTAGGGTATAGATGATAATTCAAGCCATGAGGCTAGAGGTGACCACTTCACTAGCCCCTACGGAGTTCACAGAAAGGAGATGGAAAACTAGCTTTGGGGCTGGGCATGGTGGCTCTCGCCTATAACTCCCCCAGCACTTTGGGAGGCTGAGGCAGACAGATCACTTGAGGTCAGGAGTCCGAGACCAGCCTGGCCAACATGATGAAACCCTGTCTGTACTAAAAATACAAAAATTAGCCAGGTGTGGTGGCAGGTACCTGTAATCCCAGCAATTTGGAAGGCTGAGGCAGGAGAATCACTTGAGCCCAGGAGGCAGAGGTTGCAGTGAGCCAAGATCGCCACACTGCACTCCACCCTGGGTGACAGAGCGAGACCCCATCTAAAAAAAATCAAAACAACAACAACAATAACAAACTTAGCTTTGGGAAAGGCCACCCTATAGAGTTGAGATGAGGAGAAGCCAGCAGAGAGGCTGAGAAGGAGCAGTAACTGTAACTGTAATAGGCCTGTTGCCTGATGTGTGCAGCAAGTCAATATGCCAAGACAGGGGGTTGCAGTAGAAAAAGAGGCTTACTAATAGGGCCTCCAATCAAGGAGATGGAGGGAAACCTCAAATCCTCTCTCAAGGAGTTTGGGGCTTTTCTAAGGGTTTTTAAGGAGTAGGCTGAAGTATGGAGACTGCTGATTGGTCAAAGAGAGCAGGACGAAATCATGGGACAGAGAAAGAAGCAGCTGTATTCTCATGCTGATTCCATTCCTCTGTTGGTGTCTTCAAACTGGTTGGTGTCAGCTGTTTCACTGGAATTTGTGATCTGAAAAACATCTTAAGCAATTTTTTTTTTTTTTTTTTTTTTTTTTTGAGACAGAATTTTGCTCTCGTCGCCCAGGCTGGAGTGCAATGGCATGATCTTGGCTCACTGCAACCTCCGCCTCCCAGGTTCAAGCGATTTTCCTGCCTCAGCCTCCTGAGTAGGGAGGCTAGGGAGGCTGGGATTATAGGTGCCCGCCACCATGCCTGGCTATTTTTGTATTTTTCGTAGAGATGAAGTTTTACCATGTTGGCCAGGTTGGTCTTGAACTCCTGACCTCAGGCAATCTGCTCGCCTCGGCCTCCCAAAGTGTTGGGATTACAGGCATAAGCCACTGTGTCCAGCCTTAAACAATTCTTAAACAAAAGCCTTATGATTCTAACGTCAGAAATCCTATCTATAGGAGCAGTGGAGATGCAAATGGTCAGTATCTAGTGCCACATGACTTTTGGTTACAAGGAAGTGGGTCAAAATACAGCCTGATTAATGCTTAATTATAACTCTATTTCTCTGCAGAATTCATGTTAACCCTGTGAGGAGGGCTTCAAAGTGAGGTAGGAGCAGGCTGGGAGTGTGTGGTGTCCTGGAAGCCAGGGAGGAACATGTATCAAGGAGGAGGGAGGATTAACCAAGTCCACTGTGGCTGATAAATCAAGAAAGAGAATGGGAAAATGGCCATCTGATGTGACAACACTGAGGTCACTTGTGACCTTGACAAGCACTGTTCCAGTGGAGTGGAGGGGAGTAAAGCCTGACTGGTGTGTGCTCATGAAGGAATGGGAGAGAGGACCTGGGGGAAGCAATGACAGAACACTATTTACATTTTTATGGTCTGTCTCTTCACACTTTCGTGAAAGAGCCACAAAAGCCAGGACCCAAGGGTATCTTATCCATTTCTGTATCTCAGTGCCCAGCACATTGTATTTGTTTTTTTTTGTTTTGTTTTTTTTTTTTTTTTTTTGAGTGGAGTCTCGCTCTGAGGCCCAGGCTGGAGTGCAGTGGCCAGATCTCAGCTCACTGCAAGCTCCGCCAACCGGGTTCACGCCATTCTCCTGCCTCAGCCTCCCGAGTAGCTGGGACTACAGGCGCCCGCCACCTCGCCCGGCTAGTTTTTTGTATTTTTTAGTAGAGACGGGGTTTCACCGTGTCAGCCAGGATGGTCTCGATCTCCTGACCTCGTGATCCACCCGTCTCGGCCTCCCAAAGTGCTGGGATTACAGGCTTGAGCCACCGCGCCCGGCCACATTGTATTTGTTAAGCCATATTTTATAGTTTATTAACCAGTATCTCCTTCAAATGTGGGAGCCCATAATCTTTCGATTTGGTCACACCAACAAAGACTAGAGAGGAATGATAGGGTTGGAATAGAATTCTCTGGTTCCTTCCAGCCCTAATATTCTATGATTGTGTGAACTTGTTCTATCAAGTACCATTGTAATTAATAGAGTAAGCAATTTAATTAGCGGTCTGCTGTTGTTAATTTGTTTGGTAAGCAACTGTTAAATGAAATGACTGGAATCAGTGTTCCATTCATAAATTTAACAAACGTTTGTCCAGTGCCTACAATGTGTTAGGCACTGTATATATTGTCCCATATAACAGATGTAAGAGCAGAAGGCCTGGGATGGGGTGAGTGGTCAGGAGAGGTGATGGGGACCTCCCACTGCTAATTCTGCAGGAGGTCCAGCGTTCTTTGATGTGGCTGGTGCTAGTCTGCTTATCACTGAGGAGAGAAGAGGCTCCCAGTGGCCTGAGTGGAGGGGTTACCAAGCTGCAGCTGCAAGGGACACAGAGCAGCATTCACCAAGGCACAACAAGCAGCCTCTATCTGCTTCAGGACTGAGGAGCTGAGGGCCCCCACACAACAGCTGTTTCAGGCAGTGGGAGGAGAGGAAGATGTGGTCTTCAGGTCCACCCTGCCACAGGACCAACACCAGATTTTATGCAACATCTAGGGCTTGAGGCTTCTTCTGTGGCTGAACAGCGTGTTTGGGCTTTCTCTGCACGATCCTTTCTTTCTGCTTTCATAGGCCTTGTCAGGCAGGGCAGGGTTTAGCAGTTGCATTCTAAGGCGAGGAGAGGAGGGCTCAGAGCATTGCAAGACTTAAGAGGGTCGGAGCCAGGACAAGAACCTAGGGGTACTCCTGGCCCTGGAATAACGGAGAGAACATGGGCTCCGCAGTCTACCCCTGGATGAAATACTCTTCATTTGATTACCGCTCCACCAGCATCCTTTCTGAAACAAAGTACCTCAGTTTCCTCATTTGTAAAATAGGGAGAAAAATGTCCTCCTTACAGGGTTCCTTGCAGAATCAAGGGCATAATGTGAGTGAGAGCGCTTTGTAACTAACAGACAAAGTGCTCTCCAGACATTTGTTACGGTTTTAAACCGCCAGGCAAAGCTTCCTCTTGCAGTTACAGATTAGGGGCTCCTACTCATCTGACTTTGTTCCACTTTCCACTCCTCTTCTCCGTCCCTCCCCTTCCAACAAAGAGAGGAAGTGAGAGACGCAGAGGCACGCGTCTGAGGACCAGTTTAGCTGGCCCCAGGGTCACATGCAAGATTTGCCGCCCCACGGGGTGAGAGCCGGTGTGAGGGACGCCCCCGTCCAGAACTACATTTCCCATCAACCCTTTCGCGGCTCCCGGGCGGCAGCGACCAGGCGCATGCGCCGAGTACTGCCACGCCTGGTCTCTGGGACACCCCTCCGGACCGGTTTCGCCTAGCTGTGCCGGTAGGTCCAGGTGCAGCGGCCGCAGTGCTGCCTCCCGGCGCCGCGGGCTGTGGCGGTCTCAGGTGTGCCGAAGCTCTGGTCTGTGCCATGATCCGGCAGGAGCACTCCACATCCTACCAGGAGGTACGAGGTTGTGAGAGACGGAAGGGAAGTTTGAGGCGGAGGAGCAGGGTCCCGGGGGTCTGGGCGGATGCGGGCCGGGGTTGTCGGGGCTGCGCGGCAGAGGGCTCTTCCGAGGGACGGGCGGGTGCGTCGAGGGAGGGCTCCGGTGGTGCAGAGGAGCGGCCCAGGGGCAGGAAGGAAGCGGGGCGGCGGAGCGGGCGCCCAGCCTCCTCCATATGCTGCGGGTCTCATGGCCGAAGTCTAGAGTCGAGTCCCCGGCGCCGCGACCTGTAACCAGCAGGTGAATGATTGAAGCTACCTGAGGCCCAGCCTTCCGCGCTCCGGGGCGGAGCGGCAGCCCCGTGGCCCCGAGAAACCCGGCGTTCTTTGCAACAAGTGGAGCGCCCGCGTCCTCCTCCCAGCGAGAGCTGATGCGCGGTCGGCATCGTCGGCATCCTCCCCCTCCAAACCTAAGGCCTCGCGGTCCCCGCAGCTGGTGACAGGATTGATTACCTGTTTTTTGGTGACCGCCTAACTTTGAAAAAGTGCCTTCATGGACTTTGCTGGTTCTCGCTCTTCTTCTCTCTCCCTCCAGCCTCACCTCCTCCCACGACTTTATCACTTTCCAGTTCTTTGTCTCTACCCTGTCCTGCGCTGCAGGCTGTGCGTCCAGCGCTTCCTCCAGGCAAGCCCTGCCTCCTGACTTCTCCAGCTGTGTTAGCGAAACTGCTATCCTCCTCCTCCTCCACTTCTCGGGCCCCGAACCTTGGTCATCTTTGGGACCCGTCCTCTTCTGTGCCCCTCCACCGTGCCCCCTCAGTGGCCAAGGTCAGGCAGTTCCAGATCGGTCCTCCTCCAGTTTGTGTCCTTGTGTTTGCTGTAACCTCTGAGTGTGATACTGTGTTACCATCGCTCCCTTCAGTCTCTTATACTCTCCAGATTTACCTTGAGGCCCTGCCTTGACCTCGGAGCATTCCTTTTTTCTCAGACCTGACGCTGCCCTTCGTCTGCCCAGAAGAGTCCAGACTTCTCGGCAAGCTCCCAAAGCTCTGTACAGCACAGCAGCCATGTCTCCCATTACCTTTGCCACCTCCTTACCCACCTAGGGTCTGGCCACAGTGGAAACTCAGTTTTAAAATGTGCTTCTGCCTCTGTGCATGCACTCACTCCATTTCTTCGTCAACCCTCCGCCAAGCTCCATTCGGTAAAATGCCCCCAGAAGTCAAGGGCTACCGCAAGTTCCATGTGCTTCATAGGGGTCCACTTTCCAGACCCGTCTGGCATTTCTGTCTGTCCTTCTCATACGAACCTGCTGCCTTCAGTCTTAGTCAATAGTTACTGCTGTACATGTCTCCCTTTGTAAAAGACTGTGATTCACAGAAGGGCTCTGTGCACTATATAAAGCAGGTGACTTAGCCCTACAGTGGAGGGAGAAGCCAAGTTGAAGGTAGATAAGATCTACCTAAGGCTTGCCATTTTTTAGTGTAGGATGTTGGCTGGAACCTGGCCTTGGACAAATTTCTATATTTCTCCTCCCATCCCCTTTATTCCATCTGTTTTCTTTGTCTGAAAGGAGTCTGAGGGATTTTAACCAGTGCTGTGGATTCCATGGCCCCTAGATTCTGTACCCTGAACAGCGGGGGAATCCTGGGGAAAGAGATGTGTCTGAAAGTTTTTAGGTTTATAGGGTGTGGAGCACAGTGGATAAATTAGGGATTTCAAGTCAGAAAGCCCATGTTCGTGTCCTGGCTGTGCCTCTTGCCATTTGTGTGACTTTTATTGAGTTACATAATTTTCTGAGCCTCAGTTTCTTTGTCTGAAAGATGAAGATAATAAAAGTCTCTACCTCCCGGGGTTGTTTGGGGATTAGATAAGTTGGTGTGGAAAGTGCTTGGCTCAGTGTCTGGCAGATAGTGACCCCACAGTGAATGATAGCTCTTGTTAACAGGGTGTGGGCAGCTCCCGCGTCTAGGGTGCTTTGGGGGTCCTGGCTTAGCAGGAACATGTGCCTCACTATCCACACATAGCCGGCCTAGCAGGGCTTATAAAATGTTTATTAAAATATAGTCACTTATCCCGCTTGGACGGCCAAGGCCCAGGGTAGACACAGTTTCTCTTTGGAGGCATTTTCAAGGTGGAAGGCACTGGAAGGGTGCCCTCCCCTTGCCTTCTTCAGAGGCCTGTTCTGTGGTGCCTGTCTCTCCCTTCTTCAGAGAAAGGGGCCACCCAGAGAATGGCCGGCATCTTTCTTGCCTGAACCGTTCTGTGAGTGTACCTAGCTCTGAGTAGGTTTATTTGCTGAGACGGGATTTTTCCCTAGGGAGGGTGGGATATACTGAGAATTTGGCCAGGGGCAGATAAGGATGCAGGCTCATTATGGCTGTGGCTAGTCAAGAAGGGAACTCAGTGGGAGTGTGTTAGCACCTGGGTCAGGGTCGACCTGGGTGAGGCTTGGATCAGGGAACTTTGAGACTTCCCAGGACTAACATCCTCCTCTCCCTTTGGCCAGTGAGACCTCTGGGACCTCTTTATCTGTGCTCCCACTAGTGGCTTATATCTCTTGGTGCCTTCACCAGCCTCCCTGTCCTTTCCCACTGGTTGCTTTTCTTTCTTTTTTTTGAGATGGAGTTTCACTCTTGTCACCCAGGCCGGAGTGCAATGGCGTAATCTTGGCTCACTGCAACCTCCGCCTCCTAGGTTCAAGAGATTCTCCTGCTTCAGCCTCCCAAGTAGCTGGGACTACAGGTGTGTGCTATCATGCCCAGCTAATTTTTATATTTTTAGTAGAGATGGGGTTTCACCATGTTGACCAGGCTGGTCTCGAACTCTTGACCTAGGCGATCTGCCCACTTTGGCCTCCCAAAGTGCTGGAATTACAGGCATGAGCCACCGTGTCAGGCCCCGCACCCGGCCTTTTCTTTTGTGCTTGGAGTGCTTTAAACTGGAGATTTTGCCTGATTCTAAGGGGCAGGAATGGAGTCGTGGAGAGGGAGATAGAAGAATCGATGCATAAGAGCTGTTTTTCACTTGTCTCTTGGAGGTGAGTTTTTAATGAAAATGTCTTGAAACCTTAAACACTGATGCGGTGAACCTGAGAAAATGCTTGGGAAAACTGTCCCCGCTCCCTCCCAATTTAGGGATGGCTTCTCTTCTAAGCTCTGGTCTTGACCTCTCTTGCCCTCCTCCTTAATCCTTCAGAGACTTGTTGATTATCATGGTATCCTTTCCATCCTTCTACCCTTCTCAGTGGTATAATTGTCCCCATTTGACAGGTGAGACCACTGATGAAGTGAGGTTGAGATTGCTGGCTACCAGGCTGCTGATTGTAATTAGCACCTGTCCCTGTGATGGAGTGCCTGCCTGCCCTTCCTGCTGTGTGTTGCCATTTGCAGCCCAAGTCGGTGGACTTCAGCCAGAGTGCCACAGAGAGCTCTGACACCACCTTCACTGTTCCCTCTTTTCTCTCAGCAGACTCTAAGCCGCATTTCCTCTTCCTTTGGGAAGTGGTTAAGACCGTGGGCTTTGGAACTAGACCAACTTGGATTTGACTCCTAGCTGTGTCTTTCCCTGGCTTTATGGCCATGGGAAATATTGTGAGTTGAATTGTGCTTCCTTAAATAAGATATGTTGAAGTCCTGACCCCAGATACCTCAGATTGTGACCTTGTTTGGAAATGAGGTCATTGCAGGTGTAATTAGTGAAGATGAGGTCATACAGGAGTAGGGTGGGCTCCTAATCCAACATGGCTGGTGTCCTTAAAGACGATGACCATGTGAAGACACAGAGAGAGCACACTTTGTAAAGATGGCAACGGAGAGTGGAGACTGGATGCCTCCACATGCCAACGAACTCCAAGGATTGCTGGCTGTCACCAGAAGCCAGGAGAGAGGCATGGAACAGATTCCCTCACCACTCGCAGAAGGAGCCAACCCTGCCGACACCTTGATTTCAGACTTCTAGCCTCCAGAACTGTGAGAGAAGACATGTCTGCTGTTTTCAGCTGTTTGGTTTGTGGTACTTGGCTACGGTAGTCCTAGGAACATAGAGGGCAGAAAGTTTCTTGAGCTTTCTGAGCTTCAGTGTCCTCATCTGTAAAATTGCTGTAACGCATTCTACATCATGTGGCTTTTGGTGACGATAAGTGAGAAGCAACTTCTGCTTTCTTATTCTAGTCTAGAAAAGCAAGGCTGACATAGCTGACCCGTCTTTTCTCTCTTTGCTTCTCCCTTTAGCTGAGTGAGGAGTTGGACCAGGTGGTTGAGAACTCAGAGCTGGCAGACGAGCAGGACAAGGAGACGGTCAAAGTCCAAGGTCCAGGTGTCTTACCAGGTGAGTGGGTTTGGTGCTTTGCTGTGCTGTTGCTGTAGCCTGATTCCCCAGTCCAGGCACCTTGCCAACTGTGGGAGAGAAGGACCCCCCTTCCCTGCACCCTGGTGTCAGGTCTCAAGTATTGCCCTAGTTTTAAAGCCATACATATTTAACCAGCCTTGGAACAGAGGATATGTCTAGGCTGGTATCTGCTCTTAACTCCAATTTGAGCCACTTCCTGAGGCCAGGTCATTGCGTACAATGGCAAATGCTTTGGATCGCTGCTCTTCTGTTCCTCTTTCCCTGGAAGCTGCTAGCAGGTGAGCCTCTAATATCCAGGTCAAAGAAGATCTAATAGGCACCCCCTTTCAAATACAAGGCCTATCCAGTAATGCTGCTCAGTTGGGTAAGCAGGGTCCCATCAGTCAGTTGGCATCTTATGGAGCCCTATGGCAATGTTTGACACTGCTGACTACTTCTTCCTCCCAGATACACGCGACTGCCTTAGCTTCTGTGATGCAGCACTTCTCAGGCCACTCCTTCCAGGCTCCATTGCGGTCACTCTCCAGCTCTTGGGCATGAAATGTTGGTTGCAGGCCCCTTTTTCTCACTCTCATACGCAGTTCCACCCAGGCCTGCTCCCCTGCTTCAGCTACTGCTTGCTCACACACGACTCCCATATTTACATCTCCAGCCCAGAGATTACCTACAAACTCCAAATTTATATATCTTGTATTTCCAACTGCCCATGTGATAGTTCTGCTTGGATCTCCCAAAGTTTCCCTCAACTCCACATGTCCAAAATTGACTTCATGATCTTCTCAGTCCCAGCTTGGTCCTCTTCCAGTATTTCCTGTTTGCAGGAATGGTACTACCACTTACGCAGCTGAACTTCAGAGCAGTTCTCCATTCCTTCCTTCCCCTCATCCCCTTTTTCTCTGGCCCTCAGCCATGCTGATCTTTTTTTATTTTAGGCCTCATTCCCTCTCACCATAGGGCCTTTTTGTTGTTTTATTTCTCTGCCTGGAATTCACTTTCCTTCATCACATTGTTACTGCCTAATCATTCTTCAGCTTTCAGCTCACTTATTTTTTTCTACAGCGCCTTCTCTAACTTTCTGGCTAGATTACCTTCCACCCTCCAGCACTGTCTCATAGTCCATGCGCCTCTCCTTTCCAGCTATTGCTGTTGGAATGGTGTGTTTGTTTGTCTGGCTAATGTCTGTCTGTTCTACTACAGCAGTCCCCAACTGTTTGGCACCAGGGACCGGTCTGTGGAAGACAATTTTTCCACAGATGGAGGTTGGGGGATGGCTTCAGGATGAAACTGTTCCTCAGATTATCAGGCATAGTTAGATTTTCATAAGGAGTGTACAACCTAGATCCCTTGTATGTGCAATTCACAACAGGGTTTGCACTCCTATGAGAATCTAATGCTGCAGCTGATCTGACAGGAGGTGGAGCTCAGGCGGTAATCCTCACTCACTGCTCACCTCCTACGGTATTGGCCCAGTTCCTAACAGGCCATAGACCCATATTGATCTGTGGCCTAGGATTTCACTAGAATGAAACTCCCTGAGGGCAGAGACCAGTCTGTTTTGCTCACCACCCTAGCCTTGACCACACCATAAAAATTTGTTGAGTGAATGAATGAAGCCCCAGCCTGACTTCAGCTTCTTGGGTGGATCCCATCTGTTTGTGGGAGAGGGGAACAAGACAGGAACTAATGTGATTCTGCCTGCTCCTTAGAGAAGACTGCGTGGAAGGGACTGGGCACGGTGGCTCATGCCTGTAATCCCAGCACTTTGCGAGGCTGAGGCAGGTGGATCACCTGAAGTCAGGAGTTCGAGACCAGCCTGGCCAACATGGTGAAACCCTCTCTCTACTAAAAAATACAAAAATTAGCCAGGTGTGGTGGCATGTGCCTGTAATCTCAGCTACTTGGGAGGCTGAGGCAGGAGAATCACTTGAATCCAGGAGGCAGAGGTTGCAGTGAGATGAGATCATGCCACTGTACTCTAGCCTGGGTGACAAGAGTGAGACTCTGCCCAAAAAAAAAAAAAAAAAAAAAAAAGACTGCCTGGAAGGAAGGAGGCTGGAATGGCAGCTAACATTTCCTGACTGCTTCCCCTGTGCCAGGATCTGTCCTACCCCATTTGCCCCATTTAATTCTCACATAAACCCTGTGAGGTGGTTATCCTCCTTTTACACATGAGGCCCCCAACCTCAGGGAGGTTGAGTAAAGCATGGGGAGGTCATATAGCTGGTAAACACAGACTGAATCAAACTCTGCCCGACCCAGTGGTGTTTTCTTTTTTTTTGAAACGGAGTCTCACTCTGTCACCCAGGCTGGAGTGCAGTGGCGCAATCTCGGCTCACTGCGACCTCTGCTTCCCAGGTTCAAGTGATTCTCCTGCCTCAGCCTCCCGAGTAGCTGGGATTGCAGACGTGTGCCATCACACCCGGCTACTTTTTTATTTTTAGTAGAGATGGGGTTTCACCATGTTGGCCAGGCTGGTCTCAAACTCCTTACCTCAGGTGATCTGCCCACCTCGGCCTCCCGAAGTGCTGGGATTACAGGCGTGAGCCGCTGTGCCTGGCCTACATCAGTGGCTTATAAAAACTATTTTAAGTAGTGGTAATCCCAAAACTTTGGGAGGCCAAGATGGGAGGATCTCTTGAGGCCAGGAGTTTGAGACTAGCCTTAGCAACAAAATGAGATCCTGCCTCTACCAAAGAGACAAAAACCGAAAACACTCAAACAAAACAATATTTTAAGCATTCTTTTATTAAAGCCCAATATGTAAAAGATAGTGGCGTGGCTAACCCTGCCTCTGACATGAGGCATTGCCTCTAAAGCCCTAAGGCTCCTAGGAGAACAACTTGAAAGACCTGTATATTAGTTTTCCATTGTTTCTATAACAAATTACCACAAACATAGTGGCTTAAAAAAGCACAAATTTACTATCTTAACAGTTCTGGAGGTCAGGAGTCCAAAATGGATCTCACTGGGCTAAAATTAAGCTGTCTTGGCAGGCCTGAATTCCTTTCCAGGGGCTTGAGGAGAGAACCTGGTCTTTGCCTTTTCTAGCTTCTGGAGGCCTCCTGCATTCCTTGGCTTGTGGCCCCTTCCTGCAGCTTCAAAACCAGCAGTGGCTGGTTGAATCTTTCTCACATCACTTCACTCTGACACTGACCTTCCTGCCTCCCTTTCCCATGTTTAAAGGGCCTTTGTGATCACATCGGACCCACCCAGGTAACCCAGGATAATCTCCCTGCTTTAAAGTCAGCTGATTAACAACCTTAGTCCCATTTTCTGCCTTAATTCCCCTTTTCCATGCAACTTGACATATTTACAGGTTCTAAGGATTAACACTTGGACATCTTTGGGAGCCTTTATTCTGCCTACCACACCATGCACTACCCTGTTGCCCCCAACCAGAAGTGCATAGATGGAGGTAGGAGGAAGAAGAGGAAGGGGACCAGACTTGGAAAGATGAGGCTCGCTTTGTGTTTCCTTTCATAGAGAAGTGCCCAGGTAAATCAGGAGGTGGCCCTAATGACCTTGGACCTTAGCAGCCTCTCTTTTGCCTCAGATTCCTGAGGCTGCAAAGCTGGGGGTCAATCAGAATAGGAAGCCAGGCCTCAGGCAGAGCAAATTTGGGGAATCATTTTCATGATTATTATTAAGTAAGTCTGTTATGTTGACCTGTGACTAGCAATCTTGGATATTACAACTGTAAATGTTTGGGAAGTTCAACTGGCAAGAGCATTCCCACTTGCTTTGGGGGAACCAGATGAGCTAGGCTCATCTCCTTTCTAAATCACAGAAGATCCAGATCTCAGGAGTCTTATTTGTCTGGGTCGGTAGTGAGTTGGCTCAAATTTGATGGACTGATACAAAAGTCTCAGAGCTCATTTCTTGCCTCTGAGTCTTTTTTTTTTTTTTTTTTTTTTTTTTTTGAGACAGTCTTGCTGTGTCAACCAGGCTGCAATGCAGTGGCATGATCTTGGCTCACTGCACCCACCACCTCCTGAGTTCAAGCATTCCTCATGCCTCAGCCTCTCGAGTAGCTGGATTATAGGCACTTGCAATCATTCCTGGATAATTTTTGTATTTTTAATAGAAACGGGGTTTTGCCATATTGGCCAGGCTGGTCTCGAACTCCTGACCTCAAGTGATCCGCCCTCCTCAGCTTCCCAAAGTGCTGGGATTACAGGCGTGAGCCACCGTGCTCAGCCCCTTTGAGTCTTCTAATAATAATAATAATAATAATAATAATGGTAACAATGATAGTGGTTGCCATTTTGGGAGTGCTTTCATGTACTAGGCCTGTGTAGGGCTTTTTTTTTGAGATGCTACCTTGCTTTGTGGGCTGGGCTACCGTGCAGTGGTGTGATCATGGCTCATTTCAGCCTCCCAAGTAGTTGGGACTATAGGTGTGTGCCACCATACCTGGCTAATTTTAAAATTTTTTTTTTAGAGACAGGGTCATTCAGTGTTGCCCAGGCTGGTCTCAAACTCCTGGGCTCAAGTGATCCTTCTACCTTGACCTCGCAAAGTGCTGAAATCACAGGTGTGAGCCACTGCTTCGAGCCCGTAGGACTTTTTATATACACTTTATCCTGTAATCTTCACGGCCACTCTGTGAGGTGAATGGTTAGTCCTAGTTTATAGATGAGGAACCCAAGGCACAGACGTTAAGGAACATGCTCAGAGCTCATAAGTGGCAGGGCTCAAATCTGCACTCAGGGTTACCTCCGAAGGTGTCTTGACTCTGGCTCAGTTGTTCCTAGAGGACAGCTTTCCTGCTCCAAATTCTCCCCTCCCTGTAGCAGATCACTTCAGGACTGCTTCACTTGTTATGCCAAGTGCTAACACCACAAAGAGGGTGAGTAAGTTCCTCCAGGAGCTCAGACATATAGAGATACAAGGCCGGTTACCAAAGGAAGAACTTGTCCCTCCTTCTGAGCCTTCCTTGACTTCCCTGATGAGGTCCCTTTCTCCCTGTGATATGCTTT